TTCATTAGAGAATAGATTTGTTGTCGATTTATTTTGGCAATACGTAAGGTATTAAAAAGAGTAGCCTGTGACGGGATGAGGTGAATAAATTCTTCATTCGTTTCTGATAATTGCGATAATTTGTTGAAGTTTCGATGTCTTCAGAGGTAGCTGTCCCAAATAAGTATTTTAAGATCTTGCCTCCCGCGTTAATTAATCCTCGTCTCTCTCGTGTAATGTTGTTAAGAGTTACTAAGGTTTTTAGTGCGACATATTCGGATTCATATTCATCCAAGGTAGTTTTTAAAAACGTGAGTTCTTCCGTAGGTAGAGTTTATCGAGGTGTAGAGAGGTCATCTTGATCTTGGGTTCGAAGTTGTCTCTGTACGAGAGTGTTTAAGAGTTGAAGATGTCGTTTGAGACAATGCAATCGTTCGTCTTAGGGAGAGAAAGTTATATCCGAAATGAGGATCCAATAGTTTGTATATAATAGTAAGTATATAGTAATAATAGTAATAGTTAAAAATAATATAAACACATCCGAATTCGGATCCTCACATTTCATTCAAANGTATGGGAACTCCGCACGCAAGGAATTGCCGGATTAGCATGAGTCTAGTGTATATTTAAGTAAGCGCTGCGTAAAAATTAGAGGAGAAGATGGTATTATGGAACCACTCCATTTCGAACTGATAATAAAGGCGAACTGTAGCCGAATGTGGCTGAACTGAACTAGGCAGACATCCATAGCGAGGGGAAAACCCGTTTTACTTCGGTTAAACAGTTGTCCGTATTTAATCGGCAAATTTGTTTTTTTTTTTTCAAAAATCGCAAGTTTTGAATGCTAAGCGAATTTAATTACAGTAGAGCGTCGATTTTCCGAATCAATTGGGGACTGGGGTTGTCCGGATAACTGATTTACGTACGAAAAAATAGTTTAACGTATCCGATGTCGAAATTTTTCTCCGTTGCGTGTCGCTTCGCGTTGAATTTTCGTCGATGTTAAGCCTAACGAAGNCCAAATCTCGGAAATTTGCATAATCTAAGTCTCTACAATAAATCATTACTGAAAAATGACATTTTTATTAGATCACTCGTATTATATTTCCGAATGTTAAAATGAAGAATGGAGAATTTATATCGATATAGAAATTTCCATTCACTTAGAATTAATTTAATAATCGATAATATCAAACGTATACGGGAAAAATTTTAAACTGTTTAAAAGGTCGGAAGTGTTATTTCTACGTGGCACAAGAAGCGCCCAAAATCGCAAATACTGTATTTGCATCTCGGATGTTGCCGGAGCCGGGAGGGATGAAGTCGTCTTTTCCCTCTCACAATACCTCGTAGAACACAAAGCCTAATTTCAAAATTACTTTTCGGCTTCGTTTACCATCGATATTATTCGGCGGAATTTTCGGCTGTTGAAAAAATTAAAACTGGAGTCTTACAAATAAAATACTACGAAAGTTTTTTACGGTACGCTTCTGAACCGGTAGATCGCGAACCTCGGAGTAATTTATAATATATTGAAAAGATCGAGAAACTTAAAAAAAATCAATGTAATAAAATTTAAAGTAAAATCTTAAATATACGCTGCATAATATTTAAAAAATGTCATTAAAAATTTTTGTGTAATTGTTTAATGTTTCGTGAATCGGTAGAAGTATTTTATAAGTTTTTTTTCCTTCAGATTTAATTTAACGTAACTTAAAAGTAATAAAATATTTAAATATTATGAATAAATAAGTCTTTCTTCCCACAAAGCGTTACGTTAATTAAAATTATTACGTAAAATAGTGACTAGAATTAACTTTAATAGCCTACATCAAACGAGAAATTATTGGATAAAAGAAAAATTATAATGAAAAGTCGCACAAAGGCTTTTGAATACTTTCAATTTTGATGAAATTTTATACAAAATTTAAAGAAAATTCTTTTATATTTTACAATTTATCCATTAAAGTAGGTTTACATTAGTTCAATACACTGGATAATTTATTATATATTATGAAAATATAACTCGGGGTGGTTTCTGATCCTTTGTCATTTTTCAAATTATACATTTCTTGAAAGTATTCTCGATTATCATACCTTACAGAATACAGGTAGAGGTTTTCTGTAAAGTGTAAAACTGCCGAGAAGCGTATATATTATGCTTCACTACAGTTTCTTTACACGAATATTCCCATTCCCCGGAATGGAGGCCCATTGCTTACGAGATTACGCAAGATTTAATACATACTGCTTCTTGTCCTTCCCTAATAATGTGAAGGCGATGGCACACCGTCTCACTTTTTTTTCCGCCTTTTACTTTCGCGACTGTTATGTATACGTAACGAGGGGTTACACTAGCGAAAAATCCAATTAGGAACATTTAGTTTAATAGTTACCAGTACTTTATGCACAAAAAATGTGGGTGTAGTTATGATACCTTGTTTACAATTCATTAAAATGTAATTGGAGTTCCATAATACCACCTTCTCCTCTATTACTAAATAACAAATTTCGTTATTGCGACAACAAACTTAAGTCTGATAACGGATAGCGGATGAATTGTAAAATGCTCAACGAAAAATTCAGCGCTATATTTATTTACTAGGGCCATTTGTGATTCAGTCTCCGTTTAATTCCAGGGAACGAAGTAAGCGGATAGCGATCTCGCACATTCGGGCCATTTTTTACTCCTTGTGTATTGCGAACGACAAAACGTAATGAAATCGATGTTTACGCCATCTTTGAAATTCGCCCATTGCCTCTGTTTTTGCATATAATAAACCTAAAGGTATAGCCGAAATTCATCGGATAGTGAGTAGAATGATTCAAACTTTCAGCCAAGGGTATATGAGGGAATGGTTTAAAAATTTGGGAAGGGGTAGGCAGATTTTATTGATTATCTGATAAACTGCTTTAAAATGCTGACAATACACTGTAATTCACGAAAGATGCAGCTTCACATTTTCAAAATTTTCATGTAAATTGCCACGAATTTCTCGAACTTTTTTGCACGAGATTGTTACGGATAGACTCGGCTAACACGAGATTTATGCAAGATGCCACGAATGACTGCAAAAGCTCTAAACCTTTAAAAATATACAGCGCTGTTAAATAATGCTCTTGCAAGGAATTGCAAGAATCAGATCTTATTTTTGAGGCAGTCCAAAGTTTAAGCGAGGTTTGATAGCTGCTGTTACGTATTAATTGTGCATTTAATAATTGCACAATTAATTTATAACAATTCAATAACATTAATATAGCGTACAGTAGCGTTAAAAGTATTATTATTGCTTAAAATTGAGTCGGAGAACGTATATTTTAAATTTCCTATTGGAAAATGCAAAATTTTTATCACGCATTTTAATGGCTGTCCGGTGACTAAATTTACTAAGGTATATCTGGCGCCTGCTTAAACAATACGGGTATTATAAATGATCAAAAACCTCCATGAAAGAAGGAAAAGAAATTCATAAATTTTAAAACTTTGAATAATTTTACTTTCCCGTATAAAAATGCCTTTATCTTTATTCTAAGATTTTAACCCGACAAAACGGCCAGGTAGATTTATTTATCCAAATCTCGGAAATTTGCATAATCTAAGTCTCTACAATAAATCATTACTGAAAAATGACATTTTTATTAGATCACTCGTATTATATTTCCGAATGTTAAAATGAAGAATGGAGAATTTATATCGATATAGAAATTTCCATTCACTTAGAATTAATTTAATAATCGATAATATCAAACGTATACGGGAAAAATTTTAAACTGTTTAAAAGGTCGGAAGTGTTATTTCTACGTGGCACAAGAAGCGCCCAAAATCGCAAATACTGTATTTGCATCTCGGATGTTGCCGGAGCCGGGAGGGATGAAGTCGTCTTTTCCCTCTCACAATACCTCGTAGAACACAAAGCCTAATTTCAAAATTACTTTTCGGCTTCGTTTACCATCGATATTATTCGGCGGAATTTTCGGCTGTTGAAAAAATTAAAACTGGAGTCTTACAAATAAAATACTACGAAAGTTTTTTACGGTACGCTTCTGAACCGGTAGATCGCGAACCTCGGAGTAATTTATAATATATTGAAAAGATCGAGAAACTTAAAAAAAATCAATGTAATAAAATTTAAAGTAAAATCTTAAATATACGCTGCATAATATTTAAAAAATGTCATTAAAAATTTTTGTGTAATTGTTTAATGTTTCGTGAATCGGTAGAAGTATTTTATAAGTTTTTTTTCCTTCAGATTTAATTTAACGTAACTTAAAAGTAATAAAATATTTAAATATTATGAATAAATAAGTCTTTCTTCCCACAAAGCGTTACGTTAATTAAAATTATTACGTAAAATAGTGACTAGAATTAACTTTAATAGCCTACATCAAACGAGAAATTATTGGATAAAAGAAAAATTATAATGAAAAGTCGCACAAAGGCTTTTGAATACTTTCAATTTTGATGAAATTTTATACAAAATTTAAAGAAAATTCTTTTATATTTTACAATTTATCCATTAAAGTAGGTTTACATTAGTTCAATACACTGGATAATTTATTATATATTATGAAAATATAACTCGGGGTGGTTTCTGATCCTTTGTCATTTTTCAAATTATACATTTCTTGAAAGTATTCTCGATTATCATACCTTACAGAATACAGGTAGAGGTTTTCTGTAAAGTGTAAAACTGCCGAGAAGCGTATATATTATGCTTCACTACAGTTTCTTTACACGAATATTCCCATTCCCCGGAATGGAGGCCCATTGCTTACGAGATTACGCAAGATTTAATACATACTGCTTCTTGTCCTTCCCTAATAATGTGAAGGCGATGGCACACCGTCTCACTCTTTTTTCCGCCTTTTACTTTCGCGGCTGTTATGTATACGTAACGAGGGAATTTTTAATAAACCCGTTACGATTTTTAATTTAAAAAAATCGTAGCGGATGGTGCCATACGCAGTTCTAAATGTTACCGGAAAAGTTAAGCAACTTATTGCTAAATTTTTTTCTTTTGAGTAACATTGAACACCGCTGAGTGTTTGCAGATTTTCACAGAATTTGTTAGACAACTCGATGCGGAACCGACACGTTGTTACGATTCATAATAAATGATTCCGGTTCGAGTCTATACGAATCGCACTGTATTTCATAATAACCATAGTTTTCTCGGGAATGGTTAATTACTAATCACTAAAACCTATGTTAAAATGTAATTATTTGTTATACATATTTGAATTGATTACTTTTAATACACGGGTTAAATTTTACCTACGTGCACCGTCATGGCCGCGCTTACAACAAGCGTCTTTTGATTTTCGATCTAGGTGGCGCTGTTGGTGACTAATTCCAATTTTTTCGATGTCACGAATGTAAGGCAAGCAGCTCGGCTTTTGAAGAAACCTTTATTATAGAAAAATTAGGCAAAAATTCTTGGGGTTTTTCATTTGTGTGGCATCTCATTTGCATTGAGTCTCGTTGAAAGACACGTGTTTGGCTGTAGGAATCGGTTGCAGAACGATGATTGCATTGCACAATTTAACAAAAATTGAAAACTGGTTGTCCAGGAAAGGTTGTTGAGATAGACGAAACGTTAAACTATTGTAAGCAAAAGGGAGGAAATTGAAAGGTACCGTGTGAGTCGTCAGTGGAATTTGCAGAGTGGACAAATCGTGTTTCCTATGCTATGTAAATGATTAGGATAATTGAGGAAAACGCAAAGAGAAAGAAAGAAGAAACGTGTGGTAAAAGTAAAGGGAAAGAATCAACGATGAAGGACGTTACTACAGATGTCGGCGGATCGAGATTTGGTTCCAAGAAGCGGAAACAAATTTGAATGAGAGTATATTAACCGTGAGTAAAATAGAAAGTTTTTGTTCTTTTTGGTACTTATGGGTTAATTTAAGAGGACGCCATTCGGATATGTCGATCGGGAGCACGAACAGTCGCGACCGGAAGTGCCGCCATGACGGTGCACGTAGGTAAAATTTAACCGATACATAGAATAATATATTTATTTATCAAATTTTGATACCGATGCTTAATAACAGATGGCAGTTTACCCGATCAATACGTAACGTAGTATTATCGGACACACTGTTTATATATTTTTAAATCTTTAATTAAACAGAAAAATATGCATAAAAATTCCTTCGTGTATTTTTCAAATTTTTTTTAATTAGAAAACTTAGAATAATTATGACGTATTTTTTTTAATATTATGGAGATTAATGACACATAAATTGTAATTATCATCGTGTGCAATTTAATGCTGTTTGCTGTACTTCGTAGCGAAAATATATTATAAATATTATTTTATATATTTAGTGTCGTAGCAACTCCTTGTATCATAATTCTTTTAAACAACGACAAAAGTCATAAATTTCGATTAATAAATAAGAAATTGTTGACGTAAGAGAGTACTTAAATAATTATAAATGTCGTAAATATTTATGACATACGTAATATAATAATTAGTGTGTGACGAGTATAGATGACGTCGAACGACTCGTCACATTTCTCGACGTCACGGGTACTTTGCAGAATGTTTGCTAATAAAACCTTTGTCAAAACACTTAAAATCACGATTCTTGTTTTGATAAATCTCCGAGTCGCTTGTAAGTGGGCAATTCGATACGTAAAATAACTAAAAAATTATATAATGTTTACTACAGGAGAGGCATTAAGAGGCCCGAGTTCACTTACTTTTTTCAGGTTTCTAGTATATTAAAATTTGAAAAATAAAGAATTTTTTTCTTAATTGCTAAAAGTACAATAGAAGAAATATTTTACAAGTATTGACTCGAACTACAGTGAATGTAGAAGGGCATAGAGGCGCATAGGCCCTCTACACTGTACGTACAGTGTAGAGGGCCTCTATGCTTGTATACCTTTTAAATTTTAAATACAGTGTAGAAGGTTTACGCTAAAGTTACGCTTGTTACTCTCCTGGATGTTATATACATATTTATAACAGAAGGAAAGTATGGCAATCGTTCAAAAAATGAACCTCCCCAAGATTTTTATATTTTTGGACTCACTGGACCGTAAAACGTTGAGAAATGCAAAAAACTTCAGGGTTTTTTTTTTTCTGTATGTATGAAGTTAAGTGTGTATGGGGGCTTTGAAGCTTAATAACCCCTGTGTTTTTGCAGGGAAGTTTTTGTATTAAGAGGATTGATGTTATTAAATTTTGGAGGTTAAAGGTCGAGGGAGTGAGAGATAAAGTGTCGTATTTCGAGTAGAGTCGAACTTAATGGCGATTTTACTCGTTATTAGATCTCTCGACCTCTGCCAGAGGCTCTATACAGTTTATAATTATGTAGAAAATAACACAATACGTCATTAATTTAAAATCAAGAGTAATTTAATTAAACAGACTGTAATCTGATTCTTTCTCATATCATTATTTACATCCTGTAATTATTTATGTGGCAGAAATTTAATTATCTTATTACAAAATTGACGACAATATTTTTTAAATATACGAATTAATCTATAAGAACAATATATAAACAGAAGCAGAAAATTAGAAACTAATAATAATAATAATATTTCCTCACTTAATGTGTTAAATAATAAAGAATTAGAAAGGCATTTAATACGACTTTTGAGTTTGAATTTCCGAAGAAAGAATATATTAATGTTTGTACGTTGCAATACTCGGCTGTTTATGAACATGATCGTCCGTCTGTATGCCGGCAGCAAAATTTTCTTAACTTAAATTTTCGGATAGTAAGAGCATAATAGATTGAGAGTCACTAAATGCAGTTTTCGGGACACGATTTGTTTGTAATTCAATGATTTCCAGTGGCTAAAGCAATTACGGAAGATATATTTTCCCCTGAAAATATTGTAGTGTATTCCGGTTATTGATCCGATAGTTCACAGTTCACGGGTTTATTGTAAAAAAAGGAATTCTGGCAATATTTTAATTAATTAGCTCTGCTGAGTAACTTTCCACACCTTTCATTACCTACAAATGGGTGACTTGGCCAACGGGCTGGTTGTGTGGAATTTTCCGGGTTTCCTCCACACGATGTAACTCGAATGGGAGCAGCTCGAGAAGACCTCCTGGAAGGCAAATTTTGGCAAAGTCGTAGCCTCAATCAAAATTTTGGCATTTTTCTGTATTCGATCATAAATAGAGGTTGACCAAGTTTTGAGTCAATTTCAGGCACAAAAAAGATCACCGCTTAAATTTCCATATTAAAGCCACTTCGTGTGTCGAGATCTATTTTACACGGCGTATAACTATTAACTAATTATTTAATATTCCTGATAGTACGAGTTATAACGCGTGTGATTATGCAAATCGGGATGTTTTTACTTTTAATGGTTATAATTTTTAAATAGATTTACTTAACGTTATTATGATATTAAATAATTTATGAATATTTGCTGAAAAGAATTGCTGCTTTAAGTCCTCTGCCAGTTCGTCTAGTGACTGTGAAAGTCGAAAGGTAGTTGTTTGAAAACAACTTTGTTTCATCGGGGCAGACTTTCTCGACTATTACATGTGTGTTTTTACAAAATCTTGCTTTTAACTACTGTATAAATTTAACAACTTTACATCTAGCACCAGCGTAGGTTTCCCTTCGAACACGTTGCTTTTGAATGTTTTGAAAGACACGCAAATACCAGTTGGGATTTTTAATATTCCGAGTACTTTCTTCTCCATTCAATAAATCATATCGGCTTCTACGTTTCGCTTCGTAATGACGTTGTGTGTTGTATTCCTTGATTTTAGACGTTTTCCGGCAAATAAAGGGGATCGTTTTCCCGTTGATTTTTGTCAAAAACGTATCGATCTGTCCGGTATTTCGTTGAAAACTTTTCCTTCTTCTCCAATATTTCTTTCGCTGTTTTCTTTGTTGAGCCGGTTTTTTAAACTACTGTTCTTTTAATTCTAGAAATAAAATGTAAAAAGTACAGTACGTTCCTTCCAACTTCACTCGACAGTTTCAAAATAGAATAAATCACTTTTCGTGTAGTTACGGGGGAGGATATGAGAAAAAAAGAGAAAGAAGGAATGCCAATAAACAGTTAATTATTTCCAGTTGTTTACCCAAGCAGAATTAGTAGAGGCGTAACAGTTTCATTTTAGAACACGTTGAGGAGTCATTTTCTACATAAAATATAAAATTATCTAAATAGAGGAGAAGGTGGTATTATGGAACCCCAATTACATTTTAGTGAATTGTAAACAAGGTATCATAACTACACCCACATTTTTTGTGCATAAAGTACTGGTAACTAGTAAACTAAATGTTCCTAGTTGGATTTTTCTCTAGTGTAATTATAAGTATGGTTTTTGAAGGCTTTTGTACAAAAAGTCCGAAAGTAGGCTTAGAGAAAATCGGGTGGTAATATGGAACCTTACTGTATATTTTCAAAAAAATGCTTTAATGTAGCTAAAAACAAATAGGAAAGGACAAAAAATGTTAAATAATTACAAAATTATTTACCCCAATGTATTTTATCGCAAAAATGCTTTTATAATAGAAAAATATGACCTCCATCAACAATATATATTTCAGCAGCTTTTTTTCGATATTCTCGGGAAGAATTGACTTTCTACCTAGTGTCTTTTTCACAAATTGCTCTGGAGGAATGTCTGCTTGCAAATAGAAAGTTCGAAGGAGTTGAGTTCCATATTACTGTAAAAGCACCAATGGGGTCCGTATTTCACGCATCGCCATCTCGAATTAACTTATGTCTGTCAAGACCAAATTTTAAAAAACGTGAACATCACACAGATTAATGTGTACCCCTAAGTCTCTGGAATGGAATACATGCACCAGTGAACCTACAACTTCACGATTTATATTTTAAAAATAATTAAATTCACTTAGCATTCAAAACTTGCGAATTTTGAAAAAAACAAATTTGCTGATTAAATGCAAACAACTGTTTAACTGAAGTAAAACGGGTTTTCCCCTTGCTATGGATGTTTGCCTAGTTCAGTTCAGCCACATTCCGCTGCAGTTCGCCTTTATTATTAGTTCGAAATGGGGTGGTTCCATAATACCAACAGTGTTCCATAATACCACCTTCTCCTCTAATAAATTAATTTATATCGCCAAATCGCCATAATTTATATTTATATTTGCTGTGTTGTTCTCTGTAATTGTTTATTTTGTTTGTGATGCACAAATTAAAGGATGACGTAAAATCTATACGAAAAGCAAAGAACAGTCACTCGTAGATTCAGTCATTCTACGACGTTAAGTCCTTCGTAGAAAGGCCGACACTTCCTCGTAAAGAGGGAGGACGAAATCTCACAGATATTTGTAAATCTTCTTCACAAATATAGTACGAAAGGTTTTCTATAGAAAGAAGATGCATCACTACTATACAAAGTACATCATTAAACCTATATAACGTTGATCCGGGTCTAACACGGTTTGCAAGAGACACACACACCAAAAAGCAATTCTGGATTCAGAAGAAACTGCGCGATAATCATTGTAACGATCTAGTCCAGAATCACGTCGATCGACAGAACGGAAGGATTTACGATTGCCAAACAAGGCCAGGCTATAAATATTAATATAAACATAGAAAGCATATTTTAAAAGGTACTATACAACACTCACACTCGCATCGTACACCTCGGATTCCAAGCTAACTACGTAAATGGACACGGTTTCGTTTGGCGACGACTTCAATTTTGGAATTTGGACCGTATTTAGGTGTTACTAACGTGAAGAAAATCCGGGAAATTCCACGTGGCCGGGCGAAAACCCGCTACCAGTGTCCACTCGTCTATTAATCAAAGTGTTACGGCTACGAGCTATTTTATGACGATAACGCGTGATTAAAACGTCCTTTTAATTTAAAAATGTTTGCGT